AACAAAATTTTTACTATTTTTTAAAATGGATACTTGTAAAATTTAAGCAAATTAAAATTTAATTAAACGATTCGTAGCTGAAACTTTTTTGTTAACGTAATAATTGAGCTCTAGGATAGCACATACACACATTGCCTATATCATGTGTAAAATATTTAGGCATTTATCACTGTGTAACATTTAAATTAAGTAACCATGCTCACATTTTCAGGCACACTGAGAATCGCGAAAACACTAAAGTAAGGTTGCTGTCCACTTTACAAAGCCTTATTTATGTCCCTAACTCTTTTTTTCTCTTTCGGAACCAAAATATACGCAAAGATAAATATATTCACAATTTTGTGCTTAGCTGGCCATCGTCGACAGGCTAATCTGCAATCTACAGCAAAATTATTTTTCGCATAACACCTGCAACACGCGCCTGTCAATGAAATGCAAATGTCCCAATTCTAGAGAATCCTAACAAATGTTTATAAAAAAATATATTTATATCACTTTGGACAAACCTGTGTTGGCAGTCCAGCGACGCCGGCATAGGCTAAACCTTGTGGAATGACCGTCAAGCCAACAGTTATGCCCGCTATTAGATCACCGACTGCATCGCTGCGGGTATATCGAGGTAACCATTTCAAAATAGGTAAACGTTTATAGAGCGTTTTTTTGCGGAAGACATTCTTTAGGCTAGACTCACAGAAGTCACCGAAGCTACGTCCTTTCGTCGGCGACTGATGATCGGTCACGAGTATGAAATCAGTGGAGCCATTAAATTGTGTTTCTATGGGCTGGTCGATTTTAGAGCGCGTTCGAAATTGTTCTGCCGTTTCAACACTTGACATATTCCGTTAAGTTTAGGTATTTATTAATAACTATGCTCGTTTATTAGAATTATTTGGATTTATATTTATTCAGGGCAAGAATATTTTGTATCACTATTTTTTTTAAGTATTTTATTTATTTTTTATTCTAGTTATATTCGTTTTCTTGCCTTAGTTTTAATTGAACTGAGTCTTCTGGGGTTTTATTACTTATTTTCGGGAGAAACTTGCACGTTACACCTTTTGAATGATAATTAATTGAAATAGTAAATTCGAGCAGGCGATCTTCACACGTCTATGCGCGTCAAGCTGTATGAGGAAAGTAATACGTACGTCAAGTGGGAAAAGTATCGCATAAACCGTTGGCGCCCTGAGGTAAAAATGCTTGTTGAAGAGACTTATACCTACTTGTGCTGATTATACATACTTACATACATAAGTCTGTTGTAAATTGTACTTGTATTTGTACTATCCATGAGCACTTCGTATAGAAATATCTGGAGCTGTTCGTCGCATTTGTTTGCTCTAAGCAAATTATTAAGATAGCTAAACCTACATGCTTGGTTGACAGGGCAAACGGTGTATTCTACGGCCCCTGACCTTAATTTAGATAAATGTCAACTTGTTGTTAACACCTCTTCATATCGTCATAATTATCGATCAGTTGCTTTGTATAATAAAGTGCTACATTTATATACATACATACATACATATAATAATAATAATAATAATAGATTGGCGCTTACACATGTACACATGTGTTAGTGTTTGGCCGAGCTTCTCCTTCGATTTGTGGCGTGCGCCTTGATGTTGTCACATAAAGAGGAGGGACCTACAGTTTTACACCGACTCCGAACGGCGATTTTATTTTCATGAGAAGCTGTTTTTCATGGCAGAAATACACTCGGAGGTTTGCCATTGCCTGCCGAGGGGCGGCCGCTGTTAAGAAAACCCCTTTTTTCTATGTTTTTTCCGATGTTGCTTTGACGAGGGCTTGAGCCCAGGCCCTGCGGAGTGGTAGCGCGCACTGGTAACCACTACACCACAGCGGCCGCCAAATTCAGTAAATACTTTAATAAAATACGAAAGTAACCACAAAAACATCTGCCAGAATTAAACCTTGTGGTTCCATCGCTAAATAGGCAATGCTAACATCGCACATATTGGAGCATTCCATTGTAGGTACGGAACAATTATTTATGGCTTTAACAACCCCCTTAATTCGAGTGAATTGAAATACTTAATAGCACTAGTTTAACTTAAGTAAAAAAAAATACATCAAACAATAAGTACACTCCCAGTCATCAGATTAGCAAACCCTTTTGATCCTCGGTTCTCTTTGTGTGTTTAATATTGATACATTTTAAATAAAAATTAAGCATATTCTACGTGTAAAACAGACTTAAAAATTTTCTAAAAATTAAAAAATACATGTCAACAAAGGGGTGTGCTATCCTAATGACCTGCGTTGCATAAGTTGATAACTTTTTTTTTGAAAATTTTCGGGTATAAAATTTTGGCCGCTAGCGGGTTCTGAGTTGAACACTTTCAAGGTTGGAGTATGAGTATGAGTTCATTCGAACGACATGGCCAAACCAGCGGAGGGTTGCAAACCTATTCGAAAAGTCATACCTACCTTACTATGCATATATGTACATATATCGTCACCTGAAATCAAAAATCTGGTCACCGTATAGATATGGTCCCGCTGCGATTCGAGTGGAAAGCTTGTATTACCACTTTCAATATCTGAGTAAATAAGTCGCACGAAGTTATTGGCTCTGCCTTAAACCTCATTTGATTTGAACGCCTCAGGAAACTTTATCTCAATTTGAACGCAGATGAAGCGTGTACTCAACGTCACTCTACGTAGCCGTATGAGTTTTCGGGATCCGAAATTTAGACATAGCGTCGTAGAGACAGCCTCTTTTCGTGCTACCAAAAGCCAATTAAAAAACAGTGAAAGCGCGATGTTCTTTCCAGCATTAGCCGCGCTGTGTTAATCTGCTCACTGGTTGACTTGTCTGGATTAAATCTATGCTGATAAGATCCAATAAAGGAGAGATGGAAAGAAACATATCTTCGCCATATTTGGGTTTAATTATCTGTTAGACTGAACATATTCTACTTATCAAACCTATTAATTGCATAACAAAATCTCCAAAAACGTAAGTTTTGAAATACATCTCTATATTTTTAAAGGTTCGATATGTAGATAATTTAATGTCCCTACCTCTCTACGACAAGTTTTACAATGTTTAGCTCCTCAAAGCACTAAAGCACATATTACCTTGACCTTGACAAACAGTAACACTTATATTCAAATATCTGTCTCTAATTGTGAATATACATATGTATCTATAGTAAACAAATTAGTATCATCTCTGTATATGGGTATATGGGTACTGCGAGATGTGAGTCGCTTAATGATAAAAGCGGAAGATAAGGCAACTTTAAACAATTGTAACGCTACATATGTTTACATTAACAATGCATTATCAAAGTAACATAGTAGCTTTATTGTGCTAGCTACTGTTTATAAGTTTATTGTTTCGGCGTTATGGGCTTCTCGTTTAATGAGGCAACAACAAAAAACAACATCCCAGAAATGATAGTCAACAGGTAATTCAATAATACAATTCAAATTGACTAAATGCACTCGTGATTAATTGTTGGAAATACAAAATAAAATGTCTCTCTAAAAAAACGAATTAGCAATTTGTGTAGGTATTATTAGATACAAAGCTTCGATAATAATAATAAAAAAGGTTCAACAGATAAATATAGCGAGAAAATTACTTCTTCCATTTATCTTTGTGTTGAGTTACCGCGTATTACTAGCCTTAGCATCGAATTTTCAAAAGTCCTTCGGAATAACTTAGCCTTTAGGTTGTTGTTTTTTAAAAGAACATTTAATTTAAATTATTTTTTTGTTTCACTTCCTTTATTATCAGAGATTATTCGAATAATTTGTTATTTAGATAAGTATTCGAATAAAGTTGCAACCGTAATGTACTTACTTGCAAATAACGAATTATTCGTGAATAAATTGCTTATGCATCCATTATTCGTGATTTTATACAAGCGCTTGTCGTGCCTTGGCGAGGGCCCTGCCACAAGCAGTGGTCTGTTGGGGTGTCCACATCTGCAGCACTCTACTAGGAACTGCTTTCACAACATAATACTGTGTTCCTTGATTGGAATGTAAATAGCTACGTGACTAAAATTATTTATATCTGTTGCCATCTGCACGCGGATCACGATACTGGTAACAGAGAAGAGGGAGGCTTCCTCTAAGATGGATAGACCAGGTGGAAATGACATGTTTCATTCGTATTTCCTATTGTTTGTACAGAAGAGTAACTACCAGCAAAACTCACTTAAGGGCGGTATTGTCACTTGCGAAGCGAATGAATTTGGCGAAGCGAACGGTTTGGCGAAGCGAATTAAAAGGCAGAGAAGGTATTAAAAGTGTGCGCGATGCGAAGAGCTTGCACAAGCTGGTAAAAGCGAACACCCTTAATGCATATTAAGTTGTGTCCGCCAATCCATTCGCTTCGCCAAACCGTTCGCTTCGCCAAATTCATTCGCTTCGCAAGTGACAATACCGCCCTAAAGAATATTCGGCTATTCAAATAACTGCCCAGGTCCACTCTTCGATCGGATATAAAAAGTGAGAAGGAATAAAGTTTAAGATTTTTGGCTAGTATTTTCTGGCTACTAAAATAATCATAAAGATCCTTTCTGAACTCGATCGCAGAATCAGAGAACCGATATGTCGCGTCTACGTAATCGAAACGACCAAGCTTCATATCAAGTCAAGGACTGTCACAACAACATCACTCCCCATATACTCTTTTGGGGAATTTGTATGCTGTAACAACAACAGCAACAACAACAACTTATTATTGCTAACAAAACAAACACTATTTTTCATATTTTTTTTAAAGCTTTTTTATTTTTTATTTCATTTTTATTTTACATTATTCATTAATTCATAAGCATTCATCATTAAATATATATAAAGATTATATTATTACATTTTACAAATTTGCATTAAATAGTAAAATCATATATTCAATCATAATTCAGTAATAGAGAATCCTTCAGTTAAGACGCGATCTGTATAAGCATTTACGTAGCTGGATTGTAAAAAATTGTTTATTTGACTTTTTTTTGTTATACATATGTAAAACAACATAATAGCCATTCCTTTTACTTTTGATTTCTTTCGGTTTAGAATTACATATGTAAGTAAATTGGCTTGATAAATAAAATTGATGTATGCAAATATGAGCTACATATGTAAATTGGTAATTGTTAAGAATGAACAGAATCTACAGTTTTTAAGTGTTTGCATGCATATTAAAATTATTCTGTGCTGCTCATATGTTTACATGTATTTAAGTATGTCTGTGTATTTAATAAATGTACGGGTGCTATGTGGAGTTTTTGGTGTTTGCGTGCAGTTAAAACCGAATTCAATAACTTTTCACAATGCTGATAATGAATTCGAAAGTCTGGCATTTTGAGTTTGTGTAAATGGCTTCGCTTGAACCGTGGTGACATTTTTTTTTTATTATTTAGATTCAAGGAGAATTTATACTACTCAACGTCTGCGTCTTGCATAAATGTCTTTTTGCTGATTTTTTGTTCATACTGTACATACATAATTTGGGCCTGTTCGAGGCACGTAATAAAAGCGGCATTACTGCCGTACTGATGTAAAATGGCAAAATTGTTGTAACTGCCCAACTGATAATACATTGCTTGAAATTTACACAGAACGTGATACTTTAATAATTCGCGCCACACTGCGGTTGTGATTGCAACTCGAACAAGCCCTATATCTCTCCTCAAATTGTTATTGTAAAGGCTCGCAAATAAATATTTGTATGTATATATATATATATATATATATATATTTTTTTTTAATTTAACAAAGCACTATTCTCTTCACAAGCGTACCAATTGAATATGGACAACATTGATTGTTAGATAATTTTTATTTGTTACAAAATTTGTTCAAATACTATGCTATACTACATGCAAGTGTACATTCATTTATAGGTGAAATAATTCTCTGTCAAGTACAGCTACAAAAGAAGCGCCCACATAGTTGTGTTGTAATTTTAAATTGTTTGCATTTACGCTTCTCTACTTGCCTTGTGCAATTTAAAGAATCTATTTCACTCTTCATTTCTCTCTCTTTCGATAAAATTGCGCATGTATGTACATATAGTGTAACACACTTACTGCCAGCATCGGTTATGTATGCCAGAAGAAAGCTAATCGCCCCATATGACACAATGCGGATAAAAGATTTTTCTTGTAGGGTAATCATGACTTGCGCATTTATTCATGAAAATCTGTATTTTACAAGTTTGATTAAACATGAATAAAGTAGGTTTGTACACTTAGACATCTTCGAAACATAAGAAGTAATGAGACAAATATAATCTATAAGCAAAATACAATTAAACGCGTACAAATGTGTGCAACAGGAGATACATTAAAATAACCACAACAATGAACTATTCAAATAAAACTGACTGTGTTATCTGTTTAAATACTTATGTAACACATGATTTGATAAAATGTAAATATAAGTGAAACATTTAAAATTAATTAAAACAAATCGTCACTAGGCACGAAGCAAGACGTACGAGTGTTTTGATGGCGATAAACGATACGCTTGAACACAAATTTCTGAAACAAGACGCATAAAAAACTTCGGCGTACAAAGAGCCGTAAAACTAGTTGACGGGAAAGAAAGACGCGTAAAAATGGATTCATGTCTTCCCAAGGACTGTCACTTTAGCATCATTAGCCAAAAAAACTCTTTGGAGACTTTGTATACTATTAAACCCGCAAGCATAGTTGACCGCGAAAATAAGTTTATCAGTAATGTTCTAAGATTCGTACGATTTAAGAATTTTGTATTGAAACGACTGTTATAACATTCCTGATGTTTCTTTTATAGTTTTTATATAAAATATTCAATATTTTCATCAGAACGTGCCTGTATATCTTTCTTTCTTCGCCGTCAAATATGTTAGGAATCTTTCTTCGTCTATGTCTTCTAAAGCGTCATTTTTTTCGTGGCCATATTTTGAACTCCCGTCTTCACTCATGTTTAGTGACGAATTATTTGAATTATATAGTAATTACGTAACTATGTATATATGTGCGTAAATATGCAAGAAAATAAATAAACAAGTATTACATTTAACATATTTCAAGTAAAGTGATGTGTACTATGCAAACTAAAGCACTTTGCTGAACACTTTCATTAACATTATTGAATAGTATCGCTTTTAATGTGCAATGTTCTTAATGGCTTTTGCGCTCCTATTTCAATAACCAAACATTGTATACGCATCTTTCGTTTACAAACTTTATAATTATTATATATGTATTTGAATTATAAATGCATTCGTATACAGTATGTAATTTTAGTCAGTGTACAATTATAATTCATGCTGGCGTTTGTATGTACGAGCAGTATACTTAAGTAAGCGCCTCTGCCTGTCGCGCATATGTAGTACTTCTTTCCTCATCCAGTTTGGTGGTGGCTTGTGTTGTTTTACTTGTTGCTGTTAGATGTACACGTATGTACATATGTACATATATGCCTCCTACTGCCAGGCACCAACAGTGTAGTTGTAACTGAAATGACCCATGCGTCGTTGGCGGCCACCTGGGAAAAGTGCAAAAATAAGTTAGCATATTTCTTCAAGTAAACATAAGTAGATAAATAAGATATTTCTTTAAACATATTAGTGTAGAAAAAGGTAGGCGAAAACTCACTATGACGTACATCGACAAAAATTGTGGAGATAAAAACAAACGTATAGATTACTACGTATATTTGCTATAGTAAGTACTAAAGCGTTTACTTATGATAGTCTGCTTTCGAAGAGCTTCGCTTTGAGTGGCGAACATTTAAGGGGTTCTCAAGATATACACAAAAGTATCACTGGCACGCTATAGCGGGGAACTAGCAGACGTTTTCTCTATGCGCTTAAGTAATATTAGGTTTATAGTCATTTATAGTATTTTTATTTAAAATGGAATTTCCTAGTACTCACGCGTGTTTCTTGAGTAAATAGCGAATCTGTATACTTGGTTATGAAACATTAAAAATGATAGTGAAATCTTTCTAATAGTAGCCACTTCCTGTAGAGTCTACAGTGTAGGCAAAGCAGCCCCAAGTGACTTTCGGATGCATAACAAGACAAGCACACTCTACGAAATTTAAAATGGGATACGTGAATGCCGACGATGTAATAGTATATAAAATTAAATTTTAATTTATGTATTTTTGCCTTAAAATCCAAAGGAAAGTCCGGTAAGGTGTCAAAATGGTTGCTTCTTTACAAAGTAATTAAAAACTTTTATAAAATATTAAGTCCTAGGGTTATGATTTTTTTTTTTAATACTGTCTCTATTAAAGTATGCAGCCATTCCCTTGTAATTATTTTAAAATTCTATTAGATTTTAAAGATCGTAGGAATTATTTTAAAATGCTATTAGGATTTTAGTACAGTGAGTCTAAAAAATGTTTACGTGTTTACTTTTTTTTAGTATTCACAATGTTTTTCAAGTTAATTTATTTTTTGTTATTTTTCTATAAAACTATTGTCCAAGCATATAAATCAAAAGTTTCAAACGTTATAAAAAATTTAGGAAAATTCAACAAATTTTCATCAAAATTTCGACCTGTATAATCTGATATTTTAAACATTTTCTGGGTATGCAGTTTTATGCCCCTACAATTTTAGTTTCAACCGGCTAAAAAGTTCCGTTAATTTTTGAGAATTTTTCTTTTCTGACTGCTTTTGCGGATTTTTTTTTTTATATGACAAGTGCAATTAACAAAAACTGGCGTTGATTTTTCAAAATTCTGTTGCGAACTGCCATTTTATTTAATATGAAATTTAAAAAAAAAAAGTAATTTGAAATTTTGATGAAAAGTTCTTAAATTTTAGGTAAATTTAAGGAATTTTGAACAACTTGAAACTTAGATTTATATGGTTTTGGCTAAAGTTTGGACAATATTTTTATAGAAAAACAAGTAAAGAAGTCCAAGATCGGGCGAAGCTGAACCTTAAATACCCGGCGCACGTATTAAATAAATTTTTTCAACGTTCCGAAAACTACCGTTACTTGTTTTTATAGAAAAATAACAACAAAACAATGTTACTTGAAAAACATTGTGAATATAAAAAAAATCAACACGCGAACAATGTTTGAGTCACTGTTTGTACATTTTACAGCAGCGACCGAAAATAATGATGTTTTCAAAATTTCACTAAAAAAAATCATAAGCTGTACGTATGTATGTACATATACAGTGAGCTTGAACAATATGCATACCCTGACGTTTTGACGATTTTGTTTCTTTATATTTTCCATACCACATACATATTTCTTATTTTTTTTTATAAAAATATAGCTCTATCGCCAGCAAAAGCAGAAGAATACATTTTTAAAATTTTATGCAGAACTCGAAAAAATGCAATTCGATTTCTCAGAAAAAATTGTTGAGTATGCAGTTCTGTAGCCCTTTAAATCTAAGTATAATAAAGTGTAAGTTTAAAGTCGCTAACAATTACCGTTGATTTTTGAGAATTATTTTCGCTGAGGGTGTTGCGTTCATGTGTTATATGGAACAAAATGCGCAATACCCTCACAAAAAAAATCTTAAAAATTAATTCAATTCGACTTTTCAGGAAATTCAAAATTTCATGAAAATTTCTTAGTATTTCTTGCATTTTCATCGAGTTCTGTATCAAATTTAAAAACAAACACTTCTGAGGTTTTGTTGTTGGATGAACTATATTTTTATAAAAAAAAAAAATTGCATGGAAAAAATAAAGAAACAAAATCGTCCAAACGTCGGGGTATGCATATTTTTGACGTTGACTTATGTATGTATATGTTTCTTTATGTCCTATATGTAAATTTTAAATTGATTATGACTTTTATTAACTGCACAGAAAATATAAATACATCTTTTGATTAAAAATAAAACTTTATTTTTTGAGTGTGATTTTTTTGCTCAGAAATAATGATTTTTTATTGAACTATAATTATTTGATATTAATTACTTAATGAGTTTATTTCTTTTTTATCAGGAAAAATCATTATTTTTTTAGTTTTTATTTTTTTTCATCAAATATTACGTTTTTTTTAAGTTATATTTTTTGATCGAAAATAAAACTAATTGAGAATAAGTTTTTCTCTCAGAAATAAAAATTATTTTTTTAGTTTTATGGCAGATCGAAAATCTCAAAACGTCCCACCCTAGCACTCGTCAGCATATGCACTCAAAGATTACAAGAAATTGATATACATATACATATATATATATGATAAATTTGTGCAAAGCACAAAAAAAATATCGTTTAAACACTTATTATAGAAAGCGGTCTCGCATTTTGAAGTTTTTCGATACGCAAAAAAAAAACTTAAATATAATTGCTGTTTTTTAGAGATAAAAAACCGCTCAAGAAATTAGTTTTATTTTCGATCATGATAAAACATTGCATCATATTTTCGATAAAAATAATTAGCACTCGAAAAAGGGTACGATAAAACTCAAAAATTTATTATAAGTACTTATCGCAAATTTTAAAACCTTAAAATAATGATTAAATATCTTTTTTTTATAGAACTAAATAATGATTACGGTTCCTGTTTTATAACAACTTGATTCCTGCAATGCATTAAAAATTTGTTAAGTAATAACCCGCATAGTGACAAAAAATAAGCGAAATATGAGTAATGCTTTTGAATGTAGGTATACAAAAAGTCAGAAATACAAATAATTTCGAAACAAATTTGACATGATCCTTAGTCATACAACATAATAAAAAAATTACAAATTGTACACAGAACAAAACATCAAAATAAATTATTAACGGAAATCTATAAAACAAAATGTCATAAATCATTTCTGGAAGTTCTTACCCCATAACAGTTACGTTCTTCTATAATAACAATCATAGTTCAATCGTTAAAACTAGATTTTTGTTATGATTTTCAGTATTCGATTGTGAATCACATATGTACATGTATGTGCTTTCATATTTTATTTCCTAGATCACAAAGTATTCAAAGAGAAGATGAAACGCATTTACGACCTCAAATTTTTTTGCTAATTATAATGACTAAAAATAATCAATTTAAAATCCAAAATTGTGATTTTTGATCGAAAAGGAAAAAATTATAAAAAAACGGATAAATATTAAAATAGAAACCTTCCAAATAAAGATTATCATCACAAAAAAAATACCAAATAACTACTATGTATTTAAATATCTGTTCAGCTTCCTCCAAGATACCTGTTATGACATCACTCGAAAATTACCCTTATTCGTAAACACATATTGCCATACTATTTTATTCCTATGCTATAATTAATAGATATGTACAATTAACCGCCCTGTATAAACATTATTTCGTCGTTGTCACGTACTCAATAGAACATAACATTAACGAAAATGGTCATTAATAGAGCGATTAGAGCCGTTTTTGGGGCACACTTTTAGGCGTAGAAGTTAAATCAATTGATATGCCATGATTTTTGCTTTTGGCGTAGGGAAAGGGCGGTAAGTTCCGCATCAATCATAGCTTAGAAATAAAATCGACTGTTGCGAACAAAGGTTCGCAACATCTTAACGAAATCTTTAACAATATCGGAAATGTTTTCCTAATTGTGTAACGATTTCTTTACAAATTTTCAAGAGAAATCGTATAAAGGAGTTTGAATCGAACTCGTAAAGAAATTGCTATACGATTTCTAAAATACAAATCAGAACTGTTTCTTCATAGCGCAGCATTATTTTAATTACTTAACAGATTTTTAACCGACTTCACAAAAAGGAGAAGGCTATCAATTCCTCGGAACCGATTTCTATAATTATTTTGTTAAAGGAAAAGTGGCACCTCACAGGTGGTCCCACACTAATTTGGTTTAAATCCGATAATTCGATCGTAAAGAAATTAACGGTTAATTTTAAAATTTTATATGGGAATTGAAGTCGGTTTTATTTTTTGATTGAAAATTACTTGTTTTTCAAAATCTCGTGTACAATATATTTCGTTTTACAGAATCGCGAATGAATGAAGTATCGCTTCTGCATATTTAAGGGTTAATACGACAAAAAAATAAATAAATGTGGCATATTTTGAGGCGCTCTCTTTTAGCACAGCGGAACTATAGCACTTCATTTTACTACGCTTTGCGAATAGAATGCTAATACTTGAAATTAAGTTTTCTAACTTCTATTCAATGCATGAAACTGTGATTTATAATAGCTAGTTTTTTGCATATAACTATGAGCTATAATAATTATGTATGTATGTCGTTAAAATACAAAAAAAAAAAATACATGATTTACTTCCAAATACATGGTATTTGTGTACGTACTTTTAACACAATTTCATTCAGTGGGACTTTTCTGGCTCGATTACACGCACGTTTTTTGAATTCACACAGGTGGCGGCGGTGGTGGTGTCGGTTGTATTAGAGTTGGTAGCACATAGTAGTAACAGTAGTGGATCGAGTGAGTAGTATAGCGAATATTTTGGTAGTTGTCGGTTGTGTTGTTGGTTTTATTTTATTTTTGTTTTAACATGATTTACAAACATTCATTCAATAATACAAAAAGAAGTTTTAAGTTTACAATTGTT